TCCACACTCCTTGGCCCCTCCCTACCTCAACCTGTAAATTATTTTAAATTATAAGGACTGCATGGTAATTTATAGTTTATACAGTTTTTAAAAAATCATTATTTATTAAATTTTTGAAGCATCCCGTGTGCTGGCACTGGAGTCCTTTTTCTCAGAAGGCTTGTCTGCAAGCTTTAGCAACGTGTAAACTGAACTGTCCCCTGCGATGCCTGGCCCCTTCCAAGGCCTGGCTGTAAATGCAGGCCACCCTCTCTCCCCGAGACACAGCACAGCAACTTCAGGGAAGGAAGGCTAACTGGTTGCAGATATTGGCCTAAGTGGCGCATGATTAGGAAGGGATATCTGAGGACTACGACTTTGTTCTACATTCCAGAACCAAATCTACCTAATCCTTGGATTACCTGCCCCACAGCTCAGATTGGAAAGCCTTGATTACTTCACTTGGGGAAGTCAGTGGCCTCTCATCAGAAGAAAGATCACTGCTGCCCACGACCTCAGGGAGGCCCAGGCTCCCTGGAGGGTCCCAGGGAGACTCACTGTACAGACAGGAGGAGGCCTGCACCAAAGCCCTCGGAGGCTGCTTGTTTTCAGGGGAGCTCTGCTGTCTGGAAGAGTCGTAACAGAATAATCTCCCAAAGCCTGTCACGGTAGATCTGATTTCATGTTACGATTGCCTTAGTGCTGATGGCTGCTCCTCCGCTTATCCCCTGGTGGCTTTCTGCCGAAAGACTTCATTACCGGGGGAAAACATTAGGGCCTCCGACACTCTCACCACCCAAGAGCAGCCCCAGCAGCAACTTCCACTGACCCCACCATCCGCTCACAGCCGGGGACCAGGCTTTTGAAAACATCTTTATTCTTAATGGATGATTTCCATAGAGGTGGCTGGGGCCATGAGACCAGTGCAGAGGATGGAGGGAGAACACAGAACTAAATGGAGTGAGAACCAACAGTAAGTCCAGGAAGATGCAGGGACGAGGGGAGCAAAGTCCTGTCTCTGCCCTTCCTAAGACCCAAAGGAAACGGGGGAGGCAGAAAGAAGAGCCAGACAGGTGATGAGGAGGACAGAGCAGGGCAGGACAGAGCAGGAGAGGGGAGGCATCCCCTCACCTTTACCCAACCCTCCAGGAAATCCAACGCCCTGAGTGGCTTTGTGGTTTTGTTTCGTTTTGTTTTGCTTTTCATGTGCTCAAGAACACTGAGTGTCTCACCAGCACTTTAGAGAGGGATGAAAGTAACACAGAGACTGCAGGGTCCACCCTAGGGCAGGGCTTGACCCAGCCTCACTCTGCCACCCTCTCCTGCAGTTTTCATTCTGTGTCTTGCCTTGAGCTTCGTGAACCCATGTCTTCCACGCGGAAAATGCACTCTCCTGTCCATTGCTCCCCTTCTCGCCAGGGATCAAATGCCTAGTCCGGGCTTAGGACAACAGGACCAAGACGTCAATGGCTAAAAAGCAATTGGTGGCATTCATTTCCTCTATAACTCTAACTGTCCTGCCCTACCCTCAACCTAATCTAAACAGGGCAAATTGGAAATGCAGGGAGCTTTGGCAGGAGAACCATTAGATTAGGGGAAAGCTTGATGAAATGTGCCCTGTTCTTTTCTATCAAAACTACTACAATTGGAATAAAGATTTATGCTCAAGAAACACCAATCAGAACATTCTGTGCTGAGATGATCAGTTAGATAAAGACCTCAGAAAGGGAGCCCTCCCACTGACCTGTGTCTGTGGGTTTTTTACACAGTTCCAGAGCCAGGGGCTCAGCTGTCCTGGGCCTTTTCCACAGACAGGTCCTAGGGATCTTTTCCTTGTGACTGGACAAGGCTGCTGGATCGTGGGTATGAGGAAAGAGGAGTGGGGAGGGAGGCATTCGGAGGCACCCAGGCAGGACAATTCTGCTGGTGAGCAGCTACACCAGCAAAGACAGCTACTCCCAGTGCTGCAAGACTCTTGGGACATCTGAAAAAATGTCTTTGGCTCCTGCAGCCTGCTTAGAAGAAAGACTTGCCATGTAAATATCTGAGAAAGAACGGAAACTTAAGGCACCGTTTCCATGCTTGTTGCTGGTAAGAGGAGGCCTCCCTCACCCCAAAACACTGCCCACTTCCCCAAAGGCAGATCTCACTTCAGCCAACCCCCTGGAGTCCCAGCGTGAGAGCCAGTGTTTTCATACAGTACCAGGGGATATCAGTTTGGCCGAGCAGTGTCAAACAGGTCCAAAAACAACTCCATGCTTGGTGGTTTCCTCAGCTTCACTACCCCCCATGTAGGGGGAGCTCAGGGTTTCAGACCCACCAGCTTCCCCTGAGAGGCCAGCCAGGTCACCGGGCTCTAGCTACTTGAGCACTGGAGGACAGCCCCAAACCTCTCATCACATTCTGTTGGGGAGCAGCAGTAAATCCCTTTACTTCACCTTCCAGTATGTCACTGAGACTCTGCCGCCTAGGCTCCCCAAGAGGCCAGAGAGGGGAAACAGGTACCTCTCTCCCTGGCAGCAGGCAGGCAGGTGTTCTCCAGGAAGCCAAAGAAAACTACTGCTCCCCACTCATCCTCAGCCTTGCACAGACCAACTCCTAGCAAGGCTCCAGTGTGCTAGGGGGGATGCAAAGTTTCTGGTTCAGGAGGTGAGGTGAAGCCCTCGACTCCAGGCTCTATTCCAAGTTCATCCCTTGAACTTCCCCTCCACCAGCCAGGGTGCCAGCCTCCCCAGAGCTTCTTTCCCTACTAGCAGGAAGCTACCATGGGGTACAGGTTTTTGGCAACCATCAAGCAGCTGGCTTTGGTTTCTCCTAAAAATCTTCTGCACCTCGGGGGAGGATCTATCCCACACCTAGAATTAGAGGAGAGAAGGCAGGGTCTGTCTCCCCTGGGCCATGTATTCTTTGCTCTTGGAAGAAAAAACAGACAAGGGAAACAGAACAGAATGGGAGCACAGGGACCTGGATTCAAAATTGACTTCAGTCTTCCCACCAAAGATTAGGATAGAACAGTGGGGAGCACTGGGCCACTCAGAGTCAAAGTCTAAACCTACCTTGGTGGTGAGGAAGCAGCTCCATGTGATTGCACAGACTTGGAAGTCGTCAGCAGAGCTGGGTGCTAGGTCTGATGCCCCCATTCCTCTCCATGAAACTTTGGCAAGTCTTACAAGCCTTACCTTCTCTTGGAACCTGGTTCTCACAGTTGTGGAGTGAAAATAGTCATCCTATGTCCAAGGGTTGTAAGCACACAGCAAAACAGTACTTGAAACCAGTGAAGTCCTAAGCAAATATGAAGCAAAGTAATTTATTCCAAACTTAGCAATGCTAGTATTGATTTAGTAGAGAAACTATGAAGTTGGTGCTCACTAGATGTTTGTTTAGATGCTTATCGGTGGGTGTGTAGATCAGATAAGGAAGCTCTGTGATCAGGAGATATCATGGAATACGGGTGTGATAGAACCAGGCTCAAGAGGGTAAGAGCAACAATGGCAATTCTTCAGCTTCACTTCTGGCCTGCATATGGCCTCAGGGAAGCCATGTAGTTTCTAGAAATTCTACTGTGGTGATTAAGAGCATGAGCTTTGGGGGTCATAAAAGCAAGGCACTCCTACTTAGGCTGTGTCACCTTAAGCAAGTTGCTTAACTTTTCATAATTACTTTATTTGTGAAAAACAAACAATTGCAATGCTTTTCTCAGTGCTATATCTATATCTATATCTATCCCTGCCTGGCACTTAAGGAGCATATGATAAATTTTGGTTTTGAAAAGCAGAGTTGTTTGAGAAACCCTAGGAGGATATTAGAATGGGGTGGAATAGCTTTCCACAAGGAGTTTCATGAGCAGGCAGTTTTATAGCTGAGTCGTAGGTTTAATGCAGTGACAAGTGATAATGACCCACTAGTAGTTGCTGAGGGCTTGTAGTCTGCCCACATGGCCAAGCACTTTGTGTGCATTAGGTCCAAGAAAGCTTTGGGGCTCTGAGACCAATGACCACCTTATATGGCCAGGAAGGCTGTGCTTTCTGCTTGCACACAGCACAGCCAGAACTCTGGCTCCACCGTTCTCTGGGAAGTTTACTCCCCCAGCCTTTGGCAAGTATTAGCCATTGGCTCTGAGTGTTTCCACGTGTTGAGCACATGGGATGTGTTTTGCTGCAATTCACTTGGGTCTTCAACTTGAAAAGCTCTGGCCTTCTCAATGTTCACCTGGGCTTGTGGGAGATAGCTCAGGGGGCTGGGGCCAAGAGTAAGTGGGGAAGATCTTCCTCTATCCACAGCAGAGGAGAGTCCTCCACCCCAGGGCTGCTCCCTGACATAAGGATGTATTACATCTGCATCCCTTCAGCACTGTGCCTGCAGCAGGCACTCAATCAGTGTCTCTGGAGATGTAAGGCTGAATTTAGTTCCCATCCCTCTCCAAAGCCACCATCCCCACCCCTGTGCCCTGTGTCCTGCATCCTGCATTAACCCTGTGTCAATGGGGTGAGTGAAGACAAGGTCCTTCCTAAAGCCCTAGCATGGCAGGCATCTGAGGGTTGTGTCACAGTGAAGAGCATAATCAGACTGCCACGGTCAAAGCCTAGATGCACCACTAGCTGGTCATGAGCAGGTCACATTCCAAATGATGACCACAGGGAAAAGAAGAAATCCTAGAA